AGCCCTCCTCGCCGCTGAACCTCCTCACTGAAGCTCCTCGCTGAACCTCCTCGCATCGCTGAGGCCTCAGTTTAGACACCACTTCCTCTGGGAAACTGTCACCAAACTCCCTTCTGGGTCACATGCCCAGGGGCTCCCACAGCACCTGTACCTGCCGCCGCACAGGGCTCTGGTCCCACTGACCGTCTCTTCTGCACTAGACTCTCAACTATAAGGCAAAGTGTCTTGTCCATGCTGTACCATGGTGATCCGTGCATGTGACAGACGGTACCTCCTACCTGCAGAAGGCAGGTAAGTGGGAGGCGGGGAGGAAGGAAGGCAGACAGAGAACCCAGGGAGGGTGTTCTCCACGACACCCTCCTTCCCTCTGACGCTGCTCCTTGCCCTCAGCTCCTTGGTCACCAGTTATGTGGCCTCAACGCCACTCCATCCTTCTGGTCCCCTGTCCACTTACTCACGGTCAAGCATCTAAGTGCTACGTCTAAAAGCACCCGTGATCTGCCCAGCAGCCGAGGGCCTCGCTCTACCGGCCTTGCTCTGAGCTGCTGAGTGTCGCGGGCACTCACTCACGCACACACTCAGGCGCTCACGTATCCGATCTCGGCTGGGCCCCACCTCGTGTGGCAGTGTCTGGCCACGGTCGGGTCTGTAAGCCAAGGGAGAAAGGTCTAGATAAGAAACGGCCCAGACGTCATCGGCAGACGAACAGGGTAACGAAATGTGGACGGCGTTCAGCCTTGAGAGAGACGGGAACTGTGCCCACGCTCCCCACAGGGATGAGTCTTGAGGACATGATGAGAAACGAAACAAGCCAGACTCAAAGGACAACTATCATGATTCCATCTGCATGAGGCGCCTGGAGGAGTCAAAGGTGAAGAGACAGAAAGTAAAACGGGGGAGGGATTCCTGGTGGGGGGGGAGGGGCACGGCGAGTTGGTGATCGGCGGGCTGGAGTTTCGGTTTGGGAAGATGCGGCAGCTCTGGCAATGGCTGTGCTCAGGACTGGTCCAGATGGCAAATATCCCGTTAGGTGTATTTTACCACAATGAAAGTTTTTCACCTTAGGAAATTTGAGGGTCCCGCAAAGCTGAACACCAACGCTTTACATATTCCAGTAGGCTAAAGGCAACCCTCATTTTGTAAAATTTCTCATCGCAAATACGGGGAAATTACCCGGTGTTTGGGGAAATATGTTCACTGCAGCCAGGAATTCCTGGAGCGGAACGGAAGCTGGCCGGGCCTCGGGTTCTGAGCCGGCAGTCAGGTTCCGTGTCTGCGTGGGGAGACCCCACCAGGCTCCGGGAGGCCCGGGGCCGGGAAACACCAGGGGACAGCACTCCGCTCGCGGTGACCACGGCTCCACGTGCGGCCCACGCTGGGGCGACTGGCCGATCGGGGGGAAGGCAGTCACCAGGCCCTTGGCCGGTTTTCTGCGAAACGCGCCCTCCTGGACTGTCCAGTTCTACCGAGAGTCTCTGTGCTCAGCGAATCAACACGGGGTTCCACCTTTGTTACTTCGCATACTAAGGGGAGGACGGCTGAGTGGGAAAGCACGCAGCAGGCCGGTCAGCCCGATTAAAGCTCACGTCTGGCTGGAAACCACCAGGAAAACCAAAACCAAGTTATCCCGGCTCGGGGGACAGCGGTGACGGAAACAACAGGCTCTGGGCTTTAAAACAGCACTCTGGTTAGTCAGTGGCTTTTGCAAACAGAATTCGAAATCCTTTGAGAACAGGGTATTTTAAAAAGTAAATCTATTTAAGGGGTGACATTGGTTAATAAAGTGATATAGGTCTCAGGTGTAAAATTCAATAATACGTCATCTGTATACTGCGTTGTGTGCTCACCACCCAAAGTCACGTCTCCACCCATCACCACATATTTGCCCCCTTTACTCTGATCTACCTTCCCCTCCCCCGCTTTCCCCCTGGAAACCACTAACTCTTGTCTGAGACTAAGAGGTTTTATTTGTTTGTTGCTTTCAGTTTTATATCCCACATATGTGTGAAATCATACGGTTCTCAACTTTTTCTGACTTATTTCGCTTAGCATGTTGATTGGATTAAAGGTGTGGAACATATATATAATGGACTATTACTCAGCCACAAGAAAAAAAGAAATACTGCCATTTGTGACAGCGTAGATGGATCTTCGGAATACCACGAAAACAGGATTTTAAACGCTTAGGTGTACAACGGTAACGGGGCTTGGGTAGGTACTAGAGTGTCAACGTTCCCAAACGCTGTCTCGGCACGTGGCCA